AGAGCAACAAATGATGATGTAAAAGGAGATGATATTTGACTACACTCCACGAATTCTGATGTTGCTCGCTAAAATAAGATTCTTTTCTTGACTATCACATCTTTTCTTGTATATCACATTTATGTTGTACGAAAAGTTGCAATGTTTTTTCTTATCCTTTTCTATTTTCTTTTTTCATCTTCTCATCACGAGATCGGTCATTTTAAATTTTAAAAAAAATTAAATTCACGCTCTCGAATATACTCACACACTTAAAGAAAGTGACCATTTAAACTCGTGCACTTAGCACATAATAGAACCGCACGCTGTGGACATAGCGCACCGACATGTCGCTCGTGGACTGGCTGCGTAGTTCCAATGTGGACTACCCGTGGACATGCTAGTTTACGGGGCGGAAAAGTGATTACACATTTTCTTATGAACCTGGCCGCTCTCAGGCTTCTCTCTGGTTAGTACGGCGCTCGTTGGCGCTACTTACTGCTAGGGAATATCGTCCTTTTTCCTCTTAGCCCTTCGCGTCTACGAAACGATTTAGTGACCGCGACTGTACTATGGTCACGGTGGCTCAGTAGACATGTGTAGAAAGGAAACCGATACACGTCATAGAAACAACCCTTTCAATTTTGATCAAGAGCGCGAACTCGCGCAAATTTTTCCGAAATGAGACAGCGATAGCACAAGAACAACCACCATCGCAATAACGCGCGCGAATCGAAAACAACATTTTCCTCCTGTTCTTATTTATACTTGTTACTTAGATTCAACTTTAGCAGTAGATTGCCTGTCTCAGAAGCGCGTTATCGGCTTGAAAAGGCGCCTAAGATGCAGGCAATCTGCAATGCATCCGTGTATGGTGAAATGCCTATGTTCCAGGCGCAACTTGGGCGTCGTAAAGGGCGACACATCGAAGAATCCAAGCTTATTGACCAAACGTGTTCGTCTACAATCTGTTATTTCAAGAAAAAAGTAATTAGTTCACACCATCATCTTCATGTACGTAACATATTGCGTGTGTTGTTAAAAAATATGTTTAGCCGATGTTTAAACTTTGTATCCGAGACTTCTCAAATCTTTTGTCATGATTTCCAAAGCTGCGGAAGAAATAGGAGTGAGCGGTGCACGAGGCGGACCTACAGGTATATCAGTGAGGAGAGCCATCGCCGCTTTCATAGTCTGTACCCAATTGCCTGCGAAAAAAAAAAACATAGATATCAAATAGATAATAACACACTATTGGATAATATATCGTATAGAGCGTTTACCGTGATTCGTAATAGCAGTCACAATTTTCGAAAGTTTTTCTTGCAAACTCGTAGCTAGCGTTTCTTGCGTTTCTTTATCAGCAGCCAAAATATCCATCACAATTTCGGGGAACATGTTTATGCTAGTCAGTATGAAGGAATCCATTCCAATTTCGCGTGCGGTCTTTATTAACTGGAAACAAGATGAAAATGTGAGTTTTATCCGCGCAAATGTGTGCAAGACCGACGCGCGTCAGTATTGCTTCACTAAAAAATTCGTCACCAAAGTATGAATGAAGCGCACTTTACCTGGTCATTACCAAGAAAAACAACGTATTTTCCGTTATTGGCGCGCAGTGCTCGCGCACCTTCTTCCAAGTTGTTACTGGTGAATTTTATGCCCACAAATGAGGGTATTTTATCGCCAATTGTTTCCAGAAATTGTCCCATATTTACTGAAAAAATTTGCGGATTGATTTGTTTTACGTAATACGATGAAATATGAAGCAATTTGTTGCGTTAATTATATGTTTGCTCATTAGAGAAGATAATTTTTTTGCAAAACTTGCTTACTATTAACGTTAGTGAACATGGGAATGTGGTAATATAGCAATGGAGTATTTGGTGCTGCTTCGCCGACTGTTTTCAAATACTCGATCAATTGTTCAGCGGTATCAGGTTTGAAATATAACTCTGGCAAGCAAAGCACCGAATCAACACGCATGCTCTCCGCGTGTCTCGCCTGCAACATTTGATTTGATTTTTATTTTTTATTATTCAATTGCAATAGTGATGAATAATTTGGTTTATTAATATTTTGCAAGCATGATATATAAATAAATATCCTCACACAGACATAACATAGGCGTCCAGTGAACGTTGACAACTTCCATGAACATCTAATGAAAGTTTGTTGCAAAGTGTTGTTGTTTTGTACAAGATGTTATACTTACAAGCTCGAGAACATCGGGAAGAGGAGCCCCTCCTATCTGAATCATCAGATGCTGTTGTGTTTTCTTTACTGCTCTTACCCAGGATTCAGTGACAAGTTTTCTCTCGGCAACCGACATTGACGTGCCTTCGCCACTTGTGCCATTAACTGTAAAAAAAATCACAGAACACAAGATTATGAAAATTTAACTAAAGCTAAAGTTTAACCACTAAGATTAACGTGGTAATATATATATATACATATATATATATATATATATATATATATAATTTAAAA